TCATTCTTTGTTAACTACTTTGCTAATAATAACTGGAGGCGGCGGAACATCCGCTTTTCACTTTGGCTGGTACTGAGAAAAATTTCTGGTTGAAAATGAATGAACCAGAAGATTCCGATCAAATCGGTCAGATTCAGTCAGAAAATTATGATTCGTTCATTTTTTTTAAACCAGAATTTCAATTGATCCAACCAAACTCTTTTTCAATAGGTACTACATTAATCTTGAAATTTAAGGGATCGTAATCTCGCTTTACCAGGTTCTTCCCGGCTGCCGCCGACTCTCTTCATTCGCTGTTCCGCCAACCGTAGTCCTAGGAGCTTCGAGCTTTCTCATCGGTCGAGCTTTCGCCGGAAGATAGCTATCGGCTCGGGCAATTAGACGGCTCCGTGCGCTTACCATTCGATCAATCCCTAATTACATTTACCTGTAGCTGCTGCATCATCCTACCCTCGCTTATCCGCCATCTCTCTAGCACGCGCGCACACAGCTACCTTTGACCGAGCACACATGCACGCATTTGCTCGATGAGGATGCCGTATGTACGGTATTCACGAGTACCAATCGCGATGTGGTATCCGTTGATGCGCGTGCATGTGCTCCCGAGTGTCTGTGAGGGCCTAGGCAAAACACGTCCTACATGTCAATACGACGAGTCCATACGAGTGTACAACGTGAGCTGAAGGAACGGTAAAGGATCACGCTGTGGATGATATCAGGATATTTTAACGTGATAATTTTACGTCGATCGCGTTTTATGTCGTGAAATATTCGCGACAGCCCGTTTCATTTTGTTTGATTTTTTTTTTTTTCAATTAATTTTGCTAGTCTGTTCAAATTTTCTATATGTCATATCGTTTGAGTCAATATGATTAAAAGACTCTAAGAAAATAAATAAAAAAAGTAAAAATTTTTAATAAAATATTAGTAAGAATATAAATTACACATTACGAATCAAATAGATCCGAACAGACCAGCAAGATTAATTATAGATAAATTGTAGATAAAAATAATGAGCTTTATCTTCCGCATCCATCTGTCTTTAGGCTTCTTATTATAAATTAGGCTGTAATTGCTATTGTTGTTTTTCAAATGTTTATTATATTATCGTTTAATAAAAATATATAGAAATATATGAAATAACTGATACGCAAAAGCAGTTAAACTGTAAAAAAATTGATATGGAGCCGTTTATATATTATGTAAGTATAATTGGGGGGGGGGGGAAGGTCAAACAAATTCTTACGAATGCTTACATGATGGGGGATCGTACATATCCTTACGTAAGATTTTGTCTGCTATTGATGAAAAATGACGAGCATTATTTGCAAAAAGCTTTCCAAATCTGCAGTGACAGATACACTGTTAGAAATGTTCTTAAATTTTATTAATTTTTAAGTTACACAATTTAAATTTAATTTCATGACATTACATTAAATTTAATGTATTTATAACTAAAAAGTATATTTGAGTACGTATATATAAAATTTAATGTATTTTTCATGAAAATTTATGAAATTTAATGTACTTTTCATAAAATTTTATTAAAAGTACATTAAATTTCATAAATTTAATCTACACATTCATTTCATTTAAGTAACTACTGTAACTTAATTTTCAGTTAAATTATTCATTACTTTTAATTTTGTCCATAATCACGAGTTTTATTTACATGTAAAGGAAGCTCGTGTTTACATTTTTAACAGTGTATATTATAAAGTATAATTTAAATATAATGAGCTGGAGTTGACAAAACTTCACGGACTAATGACCGCATTTAAGTTGACCGAAGTTGCTAGCCTATTCACCGAGCTATTGAACGTGATTGGTTGGATCTATAAGTATTAGAACCATTCATGTGCAATTACTCGACAAATAAGCAAATTGCTTTATCGACTTGAACACGACCATTATGCCAAAGAACCTAGCAAACATCAAGTGTAAAGTACATGTTAGTTGTAATTTCCCATTCAACAATATAATTGTAATATAAAACGTATGTTGTATTTTAATCTAATAAACCAATTTAACGTGCAAACAGTGCAATTCAGTATTAAGAAAAAAAATTATATTAGGTGTTGGAATTAATTCGTAGCGTTTTTAATGAAAGAATGTTATTTATTTCACATGAGCATTAAAAAATACATTAATGAAAGTACTTCCCATCACTTGTAAAACGCTACGAATTAATTCCAACACCTAATACAATAACATAAAATAAAATATATTAATTTTGCCAACAACATATGGTATTTATATATTTATTTTCTCACAATATATTTTAGATTGAAAATATATTTAATTTGCTGATATTATTAATAACAGTTCGTTTTGGCACAATTCTTGCAATGTTATTGTATGATTCTTTTAATAATGTAAAAAATTCATATTATTGCGTTGCAATTAGTTTTGACATGATAAAAAATGTCATGTCGAAACTAATTGCTGTCAATGATATCAGGAAATTAATCTTTTTTTTTTTGCGTGGCATGGAAAAATCTAGTAATTACAGGGGACAGAGGGAATCTTAGAAATCCTTACGTTTGCTTACATGGAGGAAGAAAGAGGTTAAAAATGGCCAAAAATGGCCAAAAATTTGCTTACGTAATATATGAACGGCCTCTTCTGGATTTCTTAGTTTCTTGAAATTGAATGTTTTAAAAATGTAATGAAATAGATACAAATCTTATAAAATCAAGTGAGAAAAGTGGGATCTAATTACAAAGGAAATTATATCCCTACTGTTATAGGAAGAAAAATGCAATGAACGTTAAATTCTCAAATCCCTATTATTGCAAATGCAGTTACATCTATCATAACTAATAAAAACACTTTAGTTTCCAATTAAAATTCTTTTTCTAGCTTTTCAATTTAGTTTCAAGTTAAAATTCTTTTTCTAGCTGCAAAATCTGTCAATTATGTTCTATTTTAATAAAAATTGTATTAGAAATTGTGTTTATATATATATATATATATAAAATACATGTTTTGTTAACTAAATAATGAATTTTTTTAATTAACAAAAAATGTTATTACTTGAGAAAAATTATACAAGTTTTTTGCTCTCGATAAAAGAAATTTCAAATGGAGATAACGACTTTTGCCAATAGGCTACACATTTGATATAAATGTATGTGAGTGTCCGCAATGTATTGAGCTCGCGTTTATGAGCTCGCTAAGCCTAAATGACTGCGCGGATCAATTATTCCTGCAGGATTAATCTGACTTACGATCTACGGTATAGAGGGACGACACGTAATGTTAAACACCCTACATAATAAGTACATATAGAAAAGAATTTTATTCTAACGAGATTATACGCGATTTATGTACCGCGCAGTATCCGCATTATATAATCGACAATGTTGTGCGTCACCGTAGTCCGTATCGCTGTTTGTTGACATTGTTTAACATCATTAATTAGCATAATTAATACAACTAATGCAATAACGTACATTGCGTTGTTACGTCAGTATACGATTCCATTCCGATTAGGGGACTTCGATGATATATCGTGCAATAAGGGGAACTGGCGCAATCAGTATATTGCGATTTGGCTCTTCACCCGAGATGTTTGCTTACCTATAGCTCTAGTATACACGTAATCGGACTCGAAATAGTCCACTGCCTATCCACGCCACCTCGTGTGCCATTAATGTAATTATCTAAAATTAATGGACTTCATCGATATTATTTACAAATGCGGGATCTGTATTATATTATCACCATAACGAAAGGCTCACCGCATTTGTTCTATTAACAAAATTGTAGCATATTATCATTTCCATAACAATAACATTAATTTGCGAGACTTCTCAGCATAACAATTATTATTGTTAAGGCACTCATTACAGATATTTAGCGAGGAGGCATATATAATGTATTAATAAAAATTCTTTCAAAATATAATATGTTAAAACAATCTTAAGTACATCAGCAAAATATACCGAAAATTTTTTTTACTTTGGATTAAATAGAATTATATTTACTTCAATAGCTTGTGTTTTTTTTTTGTTATTTATTAATTAATATAAGGGAAATTTTCAGTTGTCTTATAAATTTATTCTACTCGATTGCAATTTTGTTTAATTAAAAAATATTTACATCTTAATGTAGCTTGCAAGAATTTTTTTTATTTTGTGTATTTTTCTCGTTTCTGACATCACAATGCAATATTACTGTACAGCCAAGAGCCTTAAATACACTGTTTTCTAATTATTTTAAGACTATTTAAGTTAAATTTTCAAGAGCAAACCATCGATGAAAAAGAGAATAGGCATTATGGCAACATTGGGGGGGGGGGGGGAGGGGGGGGGGGGGGAGGGTTTCTTTAACCATAATAGTAGAATAAGCCGCATCCGCGGCCAGAGTTGCGGTTTACTCGTTGTTCGCGTTCTAAGTCGAAATTCTGCTTACATTAAGTTTGTACCGTTGCGATCTGCACGCTAAGGGGAAATCCCCGCGTGTTATCGTGGACCAACAGGCAGCAATTCGCGAAGGGCTGATAATGCGCCGACGGCGTGCCGACTAATTAGAATTCGTCGCCGGCGGTACGCAAGCAAGACGCGAGTAAATTAAACACGCGGGGGCATTATGCGGCGCCTCGAAAAATCGCCTGGGCCATTGCGAGCCGAAAGTTTATGCAAACTTCAGCCGCTGCTTACGTAAATAGTATACCTAAGGGGAGAAACTTTGCCTTACGTGCTGGACTAAATTCACCTCGAGAGTTTTCTTCTGCTTTCGCAAAAATAAATTTCAATTGGAATTAATTTAAAGGAGGGAGTGAGAGTCTCGTTTAATTTTTGTTCGTAAAATTATTATACAGAGAATTTGTTATGTGTATAACATATATGTGTATATGTGTGTAATTATTCATTATGTTTATAGACGAAACCGCGGTTTGATTGCGCTATGAAAAAGTACTCTCGACTTTTTTTTTTTAAATCAAGTTTATTTTTAGACGACATGAAACGTTACGCTTATCTCTTCATTGTTTTCAGTTCCCTCAATCTGGGCTTTCTTTCAGACCAATGGTTGCAGCTACTGATATTCGAAGACGGAGACGGAGCTACCTCTCAATATATTTAGTTTTCAGATATTTTTAGTTTTTAAGTTGTAAATAAAAATTGAATAAATAATGTTGGGACGCATGATTGTGGTTTTTGTATCTTTTTTTTCATTGAACCTCTTATGCGCGCAAGTCGACAGAGTTTTATATTGAAGATTTTTCGCGATTTTTATAATATAAATACAGTGAATATCAATAAGAAACTTTAAACTAACTAGTTTTTCTTAATCAGTAATTTTTTAGATTTCGGCGCGCGGTTCGCAGAATTGGATATGTATATAAATTCATTAATATTTAAGCACTAAGATCGAAAAAACTTCGCTTCGACCGAAAACAGTAATTTTTTTATTTTGTCAGAGATAATATTTAATCACTGAAATTTACTTAATTCACAAAAATCGTCCATTCTGCCACTTTAGCTTTACATGTTTTATTTCTATCTTTTTACTTTTCTATCATCCATGTCTTTCTCTTTCTTTCTCTGTCTTTCTTTCATACACTCGCACACATTTACCTTCATATTATTGTGATCTTTATTAATAGAATTATGTTGAATTGAAATCGCCTACTGTATTCGCTCTCTCTCTCTCTCTCTCTCTCTCTCTCTCTCTCTGTCTCTCTCTCTCTGCCATATCTATCTATCTGTCTATCTACCTATCATATTTATGTACACTTTTTCTAACTCTTCTCTTTTCTGTTTTACTTTACAGAGATACTCTTCACAGCGGGCAGAAGGTACGAGCTCTCCCGTATACGCCACGTTTTTAGTTTTCTTCTTTTTTTTTTACTTCTATCTCTCGTAGAACTCTATATCTATATCACGCCCTTCCTTCTCTTTCATTCTCGTATATTATTCTCTTGCATCTCTACGACTATCGCTGTTTCTCTTTCCTAATTTCTTGGTGGAATTAGTACATCCGAAAAAAAATTGAAAAACGTAGTTAAGATATTCATAGAAATAAGGAGTAAAACTTCTACAAATTGAATTACTGACTTTCACATGATGTAAGAAAGAAAATTTTAATCAATATTGATAAATATTTATAAAATTGTAAAAATTAACGTCTTGTAGTAGTAAAATGTTTTCATTTTTATAATGGATTGAAATTTTGAAATGTCGAAATAAATAGCGCGATGCTAAATGTTAAAGAAATATCTTTTTTCGGAAGGAGCGTTTATTTACATAATCGCGAAGAATGGTATCGCGTTTTTTGAAAAAATCAAAATAAAAAAATTAGATAATGCCGATGATTGCTTTATCAAAATCGTACGACATATTTTGACTTCGGTCCTGTCCACTTGTAACGACCAAAGCCTGTCGATGTGATGTCCATACTTGCACTTGACAGTCCTTCCACCTATCTTCTTGAAACTTCTGCCATTTACACGTAAGTAGACCATTTTTTTTTTTTACTGACTCTGCGAATTTTTAATCAAACAATCATTTTTTTCTATTTATTAAGAAGAAATTGTTTCGAATTGTATACCAAACGCACATTTTCTACTTTTCTATTTTTATTTTACTTTCTTTTTTTATATAGAATAAAAAGTTTTCCAAAATAAAAGAAAATATGCAAACAAATGTAAGTACATATAAAAATATGAAAAACAAAAAATTTTTAATTACAATTTCCTGTTATCATGTGACAAAATAATCTATAATAGGTTATTTCATTACATGATATAAATGATTTTAAGTATATAATTGAACTAAAAGCATCTATCCATATTTGAATAATATGTTAGAATATTATATGTCCTTGATTTTGGAGCTTATAAGAAAAATTAATAGAAAAATATGATTTGAGTGTACGTACGCACGAAGTTAAATAAAATAAATAAATTAAATAAATTCTCAGATTGTATCATTTTATTAACTTTTTTTATAAGCTACAAAATCATAAACTCAAGGTCTTAAAATATTTTTATATGTTATTTAAATATGAATAGACAGAGAAGAGTTGCTAAATACGTACCGATTGCTTAAATCGTATCTCATAAAAATATTTTATATTATTACCTTGATTATGTAATTTTGTAATTTTGTAATTTTGTAATTTTTAATTATGTAATTTTTTCCTGAATCGATATTTTTATAAAATCTACTAATTGTAAGTTTTTCTAAAACGTATACTCACCATAAGATAAAACTGCAAAATTAATAATTGATAAACAAATAATTGCAAAAATATTCAAGTTTTATTTCAATATCCTTGCTTTTTTATTATTAGTAAATACTTATTAAATATTTGACCTTTTTTCAATAAATTATTAAAAGTAGATATTAGTTATGCATAATGATTCTTTTTGTTAATCTCATATTTAATTATTTTTATAAATAATTATTTTTATTCAAAATTCAATGCTTTTAAGGAAGATATGATCTAAAAGATCATAAATACGATTTAAGCAACCGCGGTTAGAATCGTATCTTTCACAGCATATTATAAAAAGACTTATAATAAATTAATTTGTTATTGATGAAAAATTAAACTACAAAATAAATGCCTGAAACATCAAGTTACAATTTCTAATACTTATTTTAAAAATTGATATCAAATGGAAAATATAATAAAAAATAAATTAAATGGTACACATTTCGCAACATTCCGTTACTTTTTAATTTGATTGTATACTTAAAAATAGTTAAAACCGTATGTGTGTAAATCGGTTTCAATCGATAAGACAATTCTATCGGAGTTCGGTTGTCACTTTAGAATATTCTTTTAAGTCGTTAATTTTAATTTTTAGGGTAAAATCGCTTTGGTTTTATTAATGTAAACGAGAAAAAGCCCGCGAATGTGCTTCAAGAGAAGTAACTTCCGGAAAGTATCGTCTGTGACGAAACTTCATCTTCGAGTCTCCGCGCGAACGTCGCTCGAGAATTAATAAAGGCAATTTATCAATCATTTTGGATCGACAGCAAATGGGATTTCCCGTACTTCCATGTTATTTACTGTCGGCTTCGAGAACCCATGGTGAAGATCCAAGAAGGATAGATCCGCGTGTATCGCGGGACATATTCTACCAATCAATTTTCAAGAGACTGCAACACTAACGTCAAGCAAGTAGCCATGTACAAGTATATTATTAATTTCTCTTTAAAAAGTTTCTGCGCATTGCAACGTTTACCTGAACTCGGAATTGTCGCATCACAATTTTTAAAACTACAACTTATCGATATTTCGTTATGATATTTCGTTTGCAATCTCGGACGCATTCCGTAAAATGCGTGTAGATTAGTAAAATTTATCAGAACAATCAATGAATAATTATTTCGCATTTAATTTTTTTATTAGTATTAATACTAATTTAAAGTAAAAATTGACTCTCTCTCTCTCTCTCTCTCTCTCTCTAATTATAGTCGATTTTATTCTCAAACTCGACTGTGATCAATTTCTTATTCCTAACATTCCCAGACAAAAAGAATAGTTTTGCCGAAGTATCTAAAAATTGAGATATACAAATCTGAAAATAATTTCGTTGGATTATCAAAAAATAATTATATTGAACTCATTCAAGCATGTTTAAAAAAATTTTACTAATAAATTTTACTAATAACCCGCTTGAGCGTTGAATATAATTATTTTAATAATTCAATAAAATCATTTTCAGATCTCTACCTAAATTTTTAGATATTTCAACCAGATCTTTCCGTGCGGACGCCTTAAAAAGAGAGAGATGACGTCCGGAGAAAAGAGAATAGCTCATAATTCTAACTCTAAACCCTGATTTGAATTACGTTTGACAAGCGGCTAAAATTTCGACGATTATTCTCAGCGTATCGAGTATTGTCCATGCGCATTTGTAGCTCTTCTTACTGGTTACCCAAGTAAGTTGACGCTGGCTAGCGAACGCGATATCAAAGTTTCTCCCCGAACGTGAATCGGTTGATATCCGACCATTGTTGGATTCCTATGTGACACGCAAGTTTCAAATGCGATCCATTCCGGCTCTTTGTCTATCGAACCCTGCTTCTTCGTTTTCCGCCCACTCTACGCTTGACGTAGTGCGTAACCTTTCGACGGTAACAAGATGACGTTTCTCTACCACGTGAATCTCCTCTCTCAGTTGCTTTGGTATTACTATACGTTGGATGTATCAAATTAATCAAATTGTGCTATCATTCGAAGAGTACGGATAAAATGATTAAATTTAAAATACATTTGTTTACTATTTTCTGTAATATCATAATGTAATAATGTGTACAATACTCTTATAATACCACACATATACGCACAAACATAGATTATTACGCGCGAAACGAAATTCCAAATATTTACGGGGCTTTAATACATTAACGCGAGCATTCCGGGAGGAAGGGGGGAGGGGGGGAGGGGGAGGTAACAGACCAACAACAACAAAGTCTGTTGTTTAAAACGCGCGCGTTCTCTCTCATCCTCGTGGGTAGAATTTTCTCTTTCCCGAACAGTGAGGATATATCGCAGTCTAACGAGTCTCAAGCCGTTTAACATTTTATCCGTTGTAGCATCGGGCGGAAACGGCGGTGTTGAAGGTTTTGCGGAGAGCTCGGCTAATCGGCACCGGTACCACCTCGGTCAAAGCGTCGGGAGCGCTTAAACGTAAACGTGGGCAAATACGATTCTGGGAGGGGGAGAGAGATAGAGGAGCTTGTATAATTTGGAGCTTCCTAGGCACAGCTAATGAATAACATAACAAACGGAATAGCGCGCGGCACGTGCAAACGCTATCGAGCAGCCGAGGATTAAGCCGCGCGGTCGCGATAATTGCCCCTTCCTCGCTATAATAACGTGGAATATTGTGTCAGGGACTTAACGGATTACGCGTAGATCACGTAATTGCGGCTATTTTGCCGCGACGAAATGGCGGTCCGATATATGTCGCGCCGCGCGACGCTGCGAGTATTTATGCTATCGATACTCACGAGTATTCCTGCGAGTATTTCGCGGAGTAACACACGTCGAAGCGAGGCGAATCGTCTGCTCGTTAGGCGCCGATCTAACGCGCGCAAAGCCGGATTTCGCGTTAGACATTGGTAATGGTAACACCTCAACGCCGTTTGCCTAACAAATTATCGGACTATATTCGAGCTGCGTACGT